GTGTACGTGCTTATGCCTCTTCTTTCTTATACAAAGGGAAGCAAGCTGGAGATGCTCACTTGGGCATTGCTTTTTTTCATTTCACAGTGTGTTCTGGAAATCACCAGTTCAGAGAGATCTTCCTCATTCATTTCACAGTGGCACCCTCCACTGTGTGGCTGCACTGTCGTTCCTGCAACTACTCTTATAATATATGAAACTTTCCGTTGTTTCCACTATTTTGCATTTATAAACAATGCTGCAATAAATAACCTTGTGCATACATATTTGCATATTGTAGAAAGCACATAGATACCAGATCCTAGAAGTGGGACTGCTGGATCGTAAAGCCATTTGTTATTGAATTTCTCTCCAGAAGAGCTGTGCAAATTTCGCCTCTCCCTGCAAGCAATTCACGACAGTGCTTGTCTCCCCAAGGCCTCACCAACAGAAGGTAGTTATTTTGATCACTGGATTTTTTGGAGGGGATCTGTTGTTGTTTTTACCAAGCTGGTAAGTGCAAACTGGTGTCTCGGTTTTAATTTGCTGTCTTTAGTCTGTCTAGGCTGCTATAATGAAACACCACACAGTGGGTAACTTATAAACAACAGAAATTTATTTCTCACATTTCTGGAGGCTAGAAGTCCAAGACCATGGTGCCAACACGGTCAGGTTGTGGTAAGGTCCCTCCTCCAGGTTGCAGGCTGCTGACTTCTCATTGTGTCAAGTGGTAGAAAAGGCCCCAGCGGGGTCTCTTTTTAAAAAGCACTAATCCCGTTCATGAGGGTTCCCGCCTTGTGACTTAATCACCTCCCACAGGTCCACTTCCTAATAGCATCACTTTATGCATTAACTTCCTACCATATGAATTTGGGAGGGACACAAATATTCAGACCACAGTATTTACATTTCTCAAATTGAGTGAATGCTTTCCATATGTTTAAGGGTCATTTTTATAACTTTTTGGCAAAATTGTTCATGACCTTTTCTCATTTTTCTATTAGACTGTTGGTCCTTTGTCCTTCATTTTTAAAATAATCTTCATGGATATTTAGGGATATTAGCTCTTTGTGATATGTTGTGATTATTCTTCGGGTTTTTTTATTGCCTTTGTTTATGGTGTTTTGGTCATACAAGTTTTAAATTTTTTATTTAGTTAAATTTATTCATTTTTTAGTGCCCCTGGATTTTGAATCATAGGTAGAAAGCTTTCTCTATATCAGAGTTAAAAAAAAAATTCATCCATGTTTTCTTCTAGTACTTGTACGGTTTTAATTTCTACATTTGGATCCCTACTCAGGGATTCTTAGGTATGATCTGAGATATGGACCTATCTTTTTAACCTTTTCTCAAATGGTTACCAGCCACCTCAGTGCTGTTCATTAAAAAGTCCATCTGCAACCCAATGGTCTGAGATGACACTTTTATCAGCTACTGTTTCCACGTGTACTTACTTCCTCAGGTCTAGCTCGGGCTTGCTGCTCTATCCCATGGCTCTGCCCATCTCTTCCTGCACCAGGGCCACACTGCTTTAGTTACAGGGGTTTTGCAGTATGTTTTAATGTCGGTAAGCCCAGTTCCCCATCATCATGTTTCTCTCTCCGTGGTTTCCTGATTATTTCTGCAAGTCTTTTTTTTTTTTCCTACATGAACTTTGGTCAAATGGGACTAATTCCAGAAAATAGCCTGTGAGATTCCTATTGGGATTGCACTGAATTTGTAAACTAGCTTAGGGAAACTGACATCTTTATAATGCCGAGTCCTCCTACCCAAGAATGGAATATTCAACTCTTACACAGAGTTTTTAACTTTTTCTTGTATAGTTTTGCACGTTTCTTCTTAAATTTATTCCAATGTATTTACTCTTCTTTGTTAACACTGTACATGGGATGCTCACTGCCATTACCACCTCTGAACCATCCGTGTGTTAATTTCGTATCCTGCCACTTCACTGAAACCTTAGGGTTTGTAGTGGTCTTGTCATTGACCCTCTAGAGTACATCACTGTATTGGAGTGAGGCTGCCGGTGCCCTCCTGGCTCACGTGGGTTTTCCTGAGGGCATCTCAGGGTGGAAGCAGCTGGAATGAGCTGATGTTTCAGGAGTGGAGGGGCCGTGTCTGCCTGTTCCCCAGTGTGGGCCCAGCCCCCAGCAGGCAGCCTGGCACACGCGTGAGGCCCAGGAAGGGCTGTCGGGAGGCAGGGAGAACGAACGGAGGCCTGCTTACGGACTGTCTGGGGCTCCCGGAGGAGCGAATGGCTGGTGAGGATGCTGAGATAGTCTTTCCCCCAGAGCCCTGAAGGAGAAGCATGTTTTAAAACCCCAAATGCAGGCTCTCCACCGCCCTGGCTTGGGGTGGCCCACCAACAGCTTCCCCCTCCAGGAACTCTGCCGGTGAAAGTACTAGAAAGTCTGCTGGCCTCTCCAGCCAAGCACAGAGAGGTGGAGGATTTCGAAGGAGAAGGAAGCAGCCAGGCACTGCTCTAGACCTGCCCCATCTTAGTCTGTGCGGCCCCTCCCTGTGAGGGAACAAAGCAGAACCCCACTGTCCAGGAGAGGTAGACAGGGCCACAGGAGGGAGGTGACCCGCCCAAGGTCTTGCAGCCAAAACCAGGGAAATTGGGATCACAACCCACATTCTGAACCCAAACCCCAAGCCCCACCCATAAAGCTAAGTGAACCCCAAAAGGTTAATATTCATTTAAAACTTAGCAATTGGTCACTGCTCCTTTTTCTGGGCATTTCCAAAGGTGAGCCTGGACTTGCCGACATCTATCTATCCCTGGCTACAGGTAAATCTGGGCTGTGCATTAGGGAACGGGGGGTGAGAGGTCACCTGGGCCCATGGAGAAGGTCTAGCCAAGAAATGAGACAACAGACTAGAAAGCCATCAGCTCAGTGTGTAAGAAAGTCCAGGGCTTTGCCGGTCCAGGAAGAGGTGTCGGCTCCTGCAGCCTGGGAGGCAGCTGCGTCTCGCCCAGCCCTTCGTCTCACGCCACAGAATGGCAGGTGCAGATCCAGAGTCCCGTGAGAAAAAGAGACGTTAAAAAAATTTCAAAAGCCAACTGCTTGTCCCATGCTCTGTTGTTCTAGAATGACCCTGAGGCACTTGGCAGAGGTACAGTCCTGAGGGCCGGCCTCAGGCAGGCCTGTGACCTGGCCCTACTAAGCAGGTCAGTCACCACAGTGCCTGGATTAACTTGGATTAACTCATGTGGGTGAGCATCCACGCCACTCCGATGGGAAGTGCTGGTTACCGTGGTTACAGCCATTACGGAGCCATTAACTGCACTGTGGCCCAGTTTTCCCAGGTGCATCCGTTGAACCAGCATGTGCTGCAGAGCCAGCCGCAAGCCAGGTCAGTCACCCTCCCGGCCCGGGGAAGTGAGCAGCACACCCACTTGATGGACGAGCTGACCGACGCTCACAAGAGGCTCAGTGATGTGACGAGTTTCCGTTGAACTCCTGGGTGTGCAGATCCAGAAAACGTCAACCCAGGCAGGTGGTTCCCAAAGGGTGGTCCCTGCAGCAGCAGCCTCATCACCACCTGGGAAGTTGTAAGGGAACGAATCCTCGGGCCCAGCCCTAACCCGTGGAATTGGAAACTCTGGGGGTGCACCCAGCCATCTGCGTCCTAACCCACCCTCCGGGAGGCTCAGATACTCTGAGGTTGGAGAACCATGAGCTAGAGAACCCGCAAGGCACGAGCACTGGGAAGCCCCCGACCACAGTGCTTCCCGATGTCTTCCAGGGAACATGGCCGTTCTGGAGGTTGTTAAGGCACATTCCTCAAAGGAGGGGTTCTACTGTCATATGAGTTTGAGAGTCCCTGGCTTACACAAAGTTTAAAAGATGTATTTGTCACAGGACTTCTTGTGTTAATGAGCAAGGTGTCCTGTACCTCTCAGGCAGGATTCCCAGGTGGTGCTTCCCAAACACCCTGAATCCCCAAACCCTCTATTCTCAGAACACCTATTGACATCTCCCAGGACACCTGTGTTCCACGGACCCGGGGCTTAAAGACGGAAAAGGCAAGAAATACAGAAATTCAAGAAGGCAGCAGTAAATGCTGAGACCCTTTCTGGATTCCACAAGACCGGCTTCCTCTTAGCTTCTGTTTAGTGGCAGCTTTTGTCAAGTTCGCCATCTTATGTAAACCAGAGAAACACAGAGTTCACTTGAGCTTTGGGAGAGCTGGGGGCAGCGGGGCGGGACTGTTAGGGAAAGAAAGCCACGCACAGGTGACGCTGGGCCTTCAGAGTGTAACCACTGCACCAGGAGGTGTTAGATCGTCAGCAATGGAGGGCCGACATGTTCAACACAGCTCGCCAATTACTTTAATAACTAGAGCTCTTTCGGGTGTCCAAGGCCAAGGGGGATGAGCTTACTCATTCCTCAGATGTACGAGCACTTGAAATGAGTTCCTCCCTCGGGCCCCAGGGCTCTAGGAGAAAGAGGTGCAGATTCAACAGCACCCAGGGTAGACTGGTTTCAGAAACACCTTCTCCCTGCTCTCAGAGACGTAAATACCTCCGTCCTTCCCCAGATCTGAAGGTGAGACCCCAGGAAGGGACTCTGAAGGACTGTTCTCAGCTAGGCGAGGGGCTCAGGCGGCAATGGAAGGGGGCAGGAAGGGAAATGGACAGGGAAAAAGAAGCTGGGCGACGTCATTTACCAGGGTCCTCACATCTAGTGAGGGCCTCCCGAGGGCCAAGCTGTGGGGACACGTTGTACTGATGGTCTCTGCCCTCACCAGCCCTGCCCAGCACGGGAGGCGTCCTGGGCTGAGGACGCAGCAGTGCTGAGAGGGCGGGCGGTGAGTGCGAGGGGATGTGAGGACCGAGGGAGAGGGAGGTGGGGCCCGGGACACTACAGCGCAGAAGCCAGACCCGGTGACCCAGCCTGCGGGGGGGCAACTCCCTTCTTGCCTTTCTCCCACCCCCAAGGACACCGGCACAGGCATCAGAGCCACCCACACCCGCCCTGGACCACCGACCCACCTCCTTTCATGAGAAAGAAAAATACACTTCTAATTTTTTTAATCACCTGGTACATGACATATTTCTACATGGTTCTGATCAGGTATTTTACGTGTAAAATTAAAAAGCATAAAGGTAAATGGAAACTATGTCACTAACGATGCTGATGAAAAGAAAACGTATGCACTTTTCAGGATATTCTTTAAATTGGCAACAGTCCACGCAGCCGAGGCAGCTCCGGGGCGTACCAACCTTGTGCTCACAGAACCCCGCCTCGGAGTCCGGCAAGGCCGCCAACACCGCCAACAGACCTGGAATGCTGTCGGCCCGACTCGCCCCGGCCAGCGATTCGGGGATGCCAGCCCCGCCATGCTCCTCACAGCCCTTCCCGAGTCTCGGTAGTGCCTCCCTCTGCTCCAAGACCTAGGCTCCGTGTCTGCTTTCTCCCTGCCCTGGCTCACAGCAGTGGTAGTACCACTCTGTGGCCCCTGCTAAAATCATGAGAAAATGATGACATTTGCTCCAGGACCTGCCGGCTCTCTGCGCGCAGATATGTGAGGGTCCCCAGGGGGAAGACGGGGCCTCCAGAAGGGAGGGGCATGAGAACACTTTTGGAATTGCTTAAAGTCTGGATGATGCCAACTTCCTGGCTGTGAGAGCTCAGGGAGTCCCTTAGCCTCTCCGAGCTTCAACTCGCAACCCTAGGATGTAAGACCACTACTTCGCCCTCCTGTGTGGTCTGAAGGGTTAGAGACCATGAGTCCAGCAGGATGTCAGCTGGCCCCGCCTAAGGGCATAATGAGAGGGACCCGGCAATGGGCAACCACCTTGAGAGGTGCTGGGGGCGTGCAGGGCTGCAAACATTACAGGGCATGACAAGCCGTTGGTCCCCACTTGTCATTTACCCTCGAGGGCCAGAAACCCAGGACACGAACACTGGCAAAGGAGAAAAGACCATTAGGAAAGCGAATCTGGCTAGACGTAAAGCCCTCCCTACAGGAGACTTTCCAGATCACTCCGAAGAGCGAACTCGGCAGCAGTGAGCATTTTTTCTGGCGCGGTCTTTCCCATCCTATGGACCGTATTTCCAATTCCCTGGAGTTAATATTCGGTCCCGGTTTCGTTCAAAGAGTTCTAACATTTTCTGCATGTCGTGGTCAGCCTCAATCACCTGGAAATTAAACACACGGTCACAGGGCTGCACTTGACTCCAGCATCATCTTCCCTTCAAAGGCAAAGAGACAGTTGCAGACACGCAGGAGGTGGCAGGGAGGGGAAGGTTAAAGCCAAACAGCGCCCAGTCCTAGGTCAATCTACATTCTCAGCTACATTTTCACTCAAGACTCCACTATAGTTGGTCCTGCAGCAAGCTCTTGAATGATTGTTTCTCATCATTTTATACCATCTAATTTTCTATAATGAAGGGAAAAACAGACTGCCCTTCTTTACAAACCCACGATAGTAATGAGCTCACTTTCCAGACACCGCACTGCCCAGAAGAGCCACGAGGAACAGTGTGAGCGCAGCCCACACACAGGTCCCCGAGGCCGCGCACGTGGTCTGCACACAGCCCACCCTCCGACCCCACGCTGCACACATGCCTAACAGTCTGGGGCGCCCACCCATCTGCCTGCCTGAGAGAGTGCAACAGCAGCAAATCCATGCACAAGGGGACAGAGAAGCAAGAAGTCACAGATGGGGCGGACACGCCATCAGAGTTCAAAACGGTGAGTGGCGGGTGGAGAAAGAAGGGTTACCACTAAACGCAAGAATAGGACTCAGAGACATCAGTGGTCTGGGGCGAACAGCCCCCCACACACACCTCAGCACCCCCTAAAGGCAGCACTGTGGGACGGCCCGGAACAGCAAGCGATGTTCCTTCCATGCCCTGGGCCACCAAGAAAAGGCGTGGTCAGGCTCCGAGCCTGCCACCCACTGCAGAAGGGACTGTCACGTCAGGAAGACCACCATCCCAGATGGTTGAAACCGAGGTCTACAGGTTTCGGCCATCTAGAACATCCCTTCGTTCATGACGCTGGATAAGTGAGATGCTACTGCGGGCCCTGGTGTAATGGCGCCGAGGCAAACCACCTTCGCTCAGGTCTGTCCCCGCCACCCCAACACTCAGCCCAGGATGGGGATTGTGAGAAAGAAAGAGACCTGTCCACCCTCCCTGCTTCCTTCCTGCACATCCTCGAGCTCTGAAGGACTCGGCTGCAAGTCCTCCCCAAGACTGCAGAGTGGCCGACATTCCCCAGGTTTCGTCTCCTAGAAAAGTCCCCTGCCCTGTGGAAGGACTTACCAGAACAGGGGCCACTACAGGGAAAGGGCCCCCTTTGATGAGCCACTCCTCATAGAGCTGGTGAATCGCATCCAGGTATTCCTGCCGGGAAACACGGAAACACAGGTTGCCGGAGCACAGAGGACAGCAGGTGCACCTCTCCCACGCAAGATCTCAGGCTGGCAGGGTGACTGTCAGTGACCATGGGCAGTGGCTTGGACAAAGAAGCCCACGACAGTCCACCTGGCTCAGGCGGACCGTGAAAGTGCAGCTGCTCACTCCAACAGCAGCCCGGGCATCACGAGAGTCCCACAGCAGCACCCCCACCCCATCCCCCCTCTCACCTGGCTTCTTGAATTTACTGCCACTTTTCTAGCAGTGGGCACCAGTTCCTTTCGGGGAGGGTACCCCTCACCACGCCGTGGCCGGGCATCCCAGCCCGGGGCAGCTGAACCTCTCCCCCCACCAAGAAGAATGCGGCCCTCCCTGGCCTGGGAGCTGCACTCCAACTGCTTCTGCCCCACCAGACAACTTGTAACCTGTGGGTCCTCTAGACCATAAAGACCACCTTCAGAAAGCCCAACAGGGTGGGTGGAACCCGTAAGGAGGCCCGTAAGGAGGCCCAGACACGCCCCTAAGCCACCGGTGCCTCTGCCCCAGGAAGGACTGGATGGCGTACACTCTCCCACATGCAGGCCGAGGTGTCCTGGCCACTTACCAACACCTCCTCCTCAAGCAGCAATCTCCTCCCAGCCCAGAGGCTCTCGGAGAACCACGCTGCCGCTTTTTCATCCACCACCGGGTTCTCTCTTAGCAACAAGACAGGTGTGGCCTGTAGGCCCTGTCAAAACTGCTAAGACAATGGCTTAGACAATGGCTTAGACAATGGCTTGGACAATGGCTTGGACAATGGCTTGGGGTGAGCTCCAGACTTGGCATTTCTTCAACACGTCTGGGCCACCTCATGGAGCAGCTCCGCCCCATCACAGCACAGTCCGTCCCTGCTCCTCTGCGCCCTTTCTCCGGTCACTCCTGTCCCTGGATTTCAGAGGAGCTGCCCAGAGCAAGGCCTGGGCCTTCTCAGCTAAACTCTACCTCGCTGGTGCCCAGGCAAACAAGGCTGGGCAGGTCTTGGGAGCTGGACAGGCCTCGGGGCCCCAGTCCAGCCCACCCTGAGCTCAGAACCCCATGATATCCCAGTAGGCACTTGCCCAGCCTCTGAATACATCCAGCGGTAGCTTCTCACATGGGGCATTCAGTTCAATATTAACTGAGAATCTCATAGGTGCCAGGCCCTGGGACATATACTGGGGATCAGAGGGAATGAGATCTAATCATAAAATGCGCTCAGTTTCCTGAGGGAGGGGGAACAAACAAACATGTAAATATGCTGGTCCTCAGGGCTGTGATCAGGGTAAGCCCAGGGGCTGGGGGAGCACAATGGGGGGAAGGTCAGGGAAGGCTTCCTGGAGGCGACATCCGAACTGAACTTGAAAGGCTTTTTAATCCACTATGCAAAAGCACACTTGACAGATGGCCAATAGACATATGAAAAGATGCTCAACGTCACTAATCATCAGAGAGAGGCACATAAAAACCATGATGAGCTACCATCTCACACCGGTCAGAATGGCTGTCATCAATAAATCAAAAAACAAGTGCTGGTGAGGCTGTGGAGAAAGGGGAACCCTTTTGCACTGTTGTCGGGAATGCACACTGGTGCTGCCACTACAGAAAGCATTATGAAGTTTGCTCAAAAAGTTAAAAATGGAACTGCCTTTTGACCCAGCGATCCCACTTCTGGGAATATATCCGAAGGAACCCAAAACACTAATTCGAAAGAATTATAAGCAGCCCATGTTCATTGCAGCAGATTTACAATCACCAAGAGATGGGAGCAGCCCAAGTGTCCATCGGTAGACGAGTGGATAAAACAACCAGGAGACAGTTACACAGTGGAATTCTACTCAGCCGTGAAAAAGAAGAAAATCTTACCCTTTGCAACAGCATGGATGGACCCGGAGAACATTGTGCTAAGTGAAATAAGCCAGTCAGAGAAAGACGAGTACCATATGATTTCACCCATATGTAGAATCAAATGAACAAACTGAACTAACAAGCAAAACAGAGAGACTCATAGATAGAGAGCAGATGACAGCTAGTAGTGGGGGGAGGTTAGGGGTGGAGGGGTCAAGCAAAAAAGGACTCAAGGACATGGACAACAGGGTGGCAACTGTGGGGGAAGGGGTGTAAGGGGACTAAATGGTAATGGAGAAATCTATAATAAAGATTATATATTTAAAAAATAAAAAATATTTTAAAAGACACATTTGTGTAACTCCGTGGTGAGTGAGCGTGCGTGGACGAACGTGTGGAGCCACCGCTGGCCCTTCCCGTGTAAAAGGCAGAGTGCAGGGAGGCAAAGCCGTCCTGCACCCTGCACGACACCGCATGGCGTGCTACACAGTGAGGACCTCGCCCTGGACCAGGATGAGGTGCAGAGGGTTTGGGGCTGGGAAACTGTGTGAGTGGTGCTCTGTACTGGAAACGTCACCCAAGCGGCCGTGTGGAAGCAGGTTTCAGAGGCCGGTGTGGGAGCGAGGGACCAGGGCAAGGAGAGCAGCCTGAGCCTGTTCCGACAATCCCAGCTGGAGCCAACATGGCCTTGAGCCAGACCTGGAAGGGTGAAGCAGTGAGCAAACACCAGGAGTGTTACTTCTGAGCCGGGCACTGCGCTAAAGCTTGGGGACGCCGCAGCAGCAGCAAGAGGACCCGTTCTAGAATGGGTCCAGAGGGTGAGAGGCAAGCTGTCTTTAGGAGGCAGACTGGACCAGCCTGGGGAGGCCTGGGCAGGGGATGGTGCCGACGGCTGAGCCTGGGACCCGGGAGGTGAAGCAGATCTGGACACGGCCTGGCGTCTCCAGCCACAGGGGAAGTCCTAGTTCAGCTTCTCTGTGACAGCAGCACCATGACCTCACCAAGGGCCGGGCCAGGCCAGGAGGATGGCGGCTTCCAGTTCATCTCTAACAGGGTTAAAGGGGGCTCTTACCAATGGAATGACCTTCTCCTCTTCCCTGCACCTCATCTTCAGCCTCTGGTGACAGGTCTCAGGACTGGTCCGGAGATAAACTGAGATTAAAAAATTTTTAAAAAGTGGCTCCAATGACTGTTCATGGCTTGGAAGTGAAAGCCAAGGAGAGAAGGAAGGAAGGCATGTGGGGGAGGCACCTCTGAGCAGGGGAGGCCCACCAGGGTCAGCCCACCACTCAACCACTGACCAAGCTGCGTGACCTAACTAGCACCTTGGCCCGCTTTCGTGTCCTTCCCGTGTCACAAGCCTCACGGGGTCAGTGTGAGGCTGGATGAGGCTCCACACACAGACGGCGCTCAGCACAGGGTCCGGCACCCACTGGGTCTCAGGTACTGTCTAGGTTTTATCATCCCCTCCCTCCCTAGACTAGACAACCCACCAAACATGATGAGCTCAGGGAGAACAGCGTAAGGAACAAAGGCCAAGGTACTTCTCCAGGAAGGACCAGGGTCCCCCAGATTCTGTCTGCCCCTGGGGAAAAGGCTGAATTGATGTGGGGCACCCCCTGCCAGCTGCCCCTGCTGACTGCTTACCGGTACCAGCTCCTCCTCACGGGGCCCAGGGGAGGGAGGCCAGGGGGGCAGGTCGGGAAGGGCCGTCTCACCTATCAAATCCACGGACACGTCGATGTTCCTCACGATCCAGTCAAACCATTCCGACAGAACCACATAGTCCACTTCGGGCATCTTCCCGCTGCAAGGACAGGCAGGAGGGTTCCGTTTACCCACAAGGAAGTTTCTGGGATATGCCCTTCCCCACAGGTTGCTGGGGGCGGCTTTTGTTGAAAGGCATTGCCCAGGGCACCAGCGTGTGATCCATATGACAAGGACCTTAAACATCTCCGACTTTCCACTGCCTGGGGACAGGTTACAGTGTAACGTGGCACCACCTCATGAGGCTTGCACTCCAAGGACAGACAGGCTCCAAAGCCTGCCCCTGAGAACAGGGACAGCACTCAGGTTGGGAGGCGGCGCAGCACACCAGTTTCACCCCTAGAAACGTATTTTTGGTAATAATCATGAATACCTTATGTAGCACTGTTTAAAATAAAGAAAAACTAAATCTTGGTACATCTATGTGACAAAAAACATGCAGTCACTGAAAGATGATGTTGTAAAATAATATTCGATGACATGGAAATGCTCGTAATCAAATGCTCACAACGCAGCAAAACCCAGAGACCCTGAAACCAAGTTAACACAACAAACCCCCCACAACCAAACTTGAGCCAACGCACGTGAAGTGAAGAAAGAGCAAGAGCCAAAGGAAATGGAGGAAATCTGCCCCGTGAAGCACTTTCCCCACCTGGCCCCAAAGACCACCTGCAGGCTGGGACCCAGCTTTCAGGACCCCAAAGGCCCAGGAGACGCCCCAAGGAAGCCACAGGGACCCAACTCCAGAGGGAAAGGGCTGGGCACTGAAACATGGGCGCCTGGAAGGCCACCTGGCTGCTGGCTTCTTCTGAGGCCCCGCCCCTCCAAGCACGGGCCCCACCCAGCAGGATGGTGCCTCCCCAGGTTAGAAATGCAGGCTCTTGGGCCCCAACCCCCCTCAGCGAAGCAGCATCTGCACGTTAACCTGATGCACAGGGATCTGTGGGAGATGCTGACTCCCCTGACCCAGCACTTTGGGGGTTCAGTGGGCCTGACGCCTCTGGCCTTACCGATGAGAGAAACCTGGATGTCCCTCCCCCGTCATTCATTCCCACTGCGCCACACAGCGGGTCCGCGGCAGCTCGCCCAGCCAGCTTCCTGCCCAGCTGGGAAGGAGCACTGGCTTCCCAATCCCATCTCAGTTCCCGCTCTGCCAACCAGGGTCGACAGCACCTACGCAGGGCTGCCTGGAAGGCTTGAAGAGCAGGGACATGCAAGTACCACATGATAACGCAGCTCCTGTCCACACCGCCCCGCTCGGCCCGAGCACTTGAGTAAATGCCCCAATCTGGGGGACACAGATGAGCTGGCCCAGCACGCAGGTAAAGCACCTGCCCTAGGAAGAAGCTTCTCAGTACCTCTCCCCTGGGTTCTCTGCCTCCCCAACTTGGGGACTCAAGTAGAAGGCTAAAAGAGGAGGGTACTCCAAGCCACATGCTAAGCATGATGTTTGTTACAGACACAAACAGAAGAAAGAACACGTGATGGATCAGAATGCAAAACCCTATGGCTTTCTAACATAAAAGAGGAGACTCCAAAAACATTTCCATTTTGTCAGCAGCCTGCTCTGGGCCACAGGGGCCAGGGGAGAAGCAGGGAGTCAGCTGCCTGTGTGATGTTTCCTCTGCCCTTGGAGGGCTGCGGTGAAAGGGTTTGAGGAGCATAGCCTTCTCCCACCTCCCTGAAACCGAAGTGGGTGTGGCCTGGCTCACCTCGGTGCCTGGTGCTCCCAGGAGCCTCTGGGGCACCTGAGGCCACACACTGCCCAACAGCCTCTGACTTCACCAAGTGACACCGGAACTGGGTATCCAGGGGAACCCATGCCCTGGGGGCGGTGGGCGGGGTATGAACTTAAAAGCATTAGAGGCCAAGAACAGAAACAAGGACACTGGGCATTTCTTCCACGGTTCGTTGTCCCACCAAAATCCTAACCACCGATGTCAGGCTTTCTGGGAGGGTCAGGGAGGAAGAGATACGTATGGAATTACCAGGACAGTGAAACAGATCAAAAAGGTTGAAAGCTACAGCCTTTCCCACACTACCCACAGAACAGCCCAGGGCAAGGCCCATGTGACTGGCACCAGCGACCTGGACCACGGCCACCCAGACCACGAAATACAGAAGCACCATCAGAAGTATATCATAATGAAGGACTACTGGTGTGAGTAACCAAAGGCCACGGACACCAGGCAGAACTGACCCTGTGACAAGCAAAGATAAGGGGCTACTGGGAAAATCCACCAGGCACTGGACAACCTATGGTGCAGGGGGCTTAACCGGTAAACTTCATGAAGACCAAGGACCTGCATGAGGGTCACAGGACCAAAACCAGGCAGCTGTTCCAAGGGCTCTCCTCCAGAGACGGACGACAGGAAGTAGAGACAAGAGGGGCTCTGTGAGATTTGGTCGTGCTCACAACAGAGCAAGCCCCAGGGCGGGGATGCAACCCAGGTGCCCCCAGCTCCACACCGCACTCGCTGCCCTTGACCTCTGCTCATCCACTTCAGCTCATCCTCTTCAAAAACAGCCACAAGCGGCCAACACGACCCCGCCCAGAAGACAAGAGACAGCCAGGCTACGGGAGGGTCACAGGACTCCCGCCCCGCTGTCCAGAGTCTGCTCTTCGAGTCTGCTCTTTACTTTCACCAGGCGGTAAACAAACACCAAAAGCGCTCCCTTGCTCTCTTCTCTTCCCTCTTCTGCCTGCCTGCCCTCTGGCAGAGGCACAAACAGGCAGAGAGCAGAGAAGCGAGGGATTCGGAAATGAGCAGGGCACAGACAGCTCAGCCGGCGGCCTCCCTGGAAACTGGGCAGCCGGGGGAAGAGGGGACACCAGCACCAGGAACAGGGTCTGCTGGGCGGGCAGAGCCCTCAAGAGGAATCTGAGGTCTGAGGACGAAGCTCCAGGCAGGACTTGCCCTGGCTGCTGTCCCTGACTCCAGAACATGGCTCTAATGCTCAGACTGGGTGGGGGCACAGGCTGAATGAAGCGCATGCTCCATGGAGGCCCAGGGCCCATGGGAGAAGCCCTTCTGTGGTCCCTCGAAGGAGCGGGTGTGAAAGGGCTGGGCCCGGAGGCTGGAGACGGAAGAGCAGCCACGGGTCTGGTCACTCAACAAGACAGCGGTTAACAAGGATCAGCCGGGTGCCGGCTCGGTGCTGGGCAAGCGACCAGACGTGGTCCCTGTCCTCAAGGGGCTTATGGGCCAGTGGGGTGGAGGGCATGCAATAGACGATGAAACAAAGACACATACTAAGTGAATCCACATGAAACTGCCACTTTTGCAGGTCAAATAATAAGAATTTCATATGGTTCAATCAACAGAAAGTCGTAACTAAGAATTACAAGGGGCTTGCGAGATTTACGATCTACACCCAGTGGGTGGGGAGGGTCAGGAGGGGTGACATTTAGGAGATAGCGGCAAACGAGAAGGAATGGGCAGGCAGCACGTACAGGGTGGAAGGCAGGCAGCATGTACAGGGTGGAAGGCAGGCATCAGACCAGCTCTGCAAGGGAGCGACAGCAGCATCCCAGAGCTGAAAGCAGGACCCCAGAGCTGAAAGCAGAAAAAAGCAGTGACTGGGGGGGACGGGGCCAGGAGAAGGGGACCAGCCACAGAGCTGACAAGAAGGGAGGGCATGGAAAAAGCCGAAGCTTCAGGCCCCAGCCTGCAACCAATTTTCCCAAGACCCTAAAAATATGCAGCCGGGTGAACACAGGACTGGAGGGCCCCACGCCTTTCAGGCCTCAGCACTGTGGGCCACCAGAAGTCCCCTCCAACTACGCCAGTATGACAGAGTCTGCTCCCATGAGGGCAAAAGACGGTTTTGAGTGAAAACCAGAGCAAATATCATGCACACTGAGCTAGACCGATTGGTCTCGTCACCCCAAATCTTCACCTTCCAACACCCTCCTACTTTGGCGTGGAACTCACAAGAGCGCCCCCATCTCTCAGACTGGGTCAGCTTTGGCCAATGGGATGTTAGCAAATGTGAAGCTGAGGCCCCTGAAAGAGCAATCGTGGGTTTCCGCGGGTGCTGCTGCCTCCCACCGTCACCATAAGAAGTGAATGCCCAGGTCCGCTTGCAGGTCCCAGAAGGAGGACGAGAGGCAAGAGAAAGAGGTGAGCCACCTCGTCCCCCCTTGTCAGGGCCACCCCAGACCAGCCGACCCCAGACATATCACAGAGCCCGACCAAGGTCAGCAGGGCTGCCTGGCCTACCCCCCAATATGACTGAGGAATCAATGCAGAGAGCCAGCGGCCACTGAGGTTCCGTGGTGGTTACACAGAAGCACTCCTGTGGCCGCACTGAAGCGACACAGCGCAGCAGGCACCCAGTGCCTGTCCTCTGGACAAACAAGTTCCCATTTCATTTTGAAGAATGAAATATAAAATATCAATTGTGCAGGCTATGGTACCTTCTATACAGGTTTTCTACAAAAATGTATCTTGCGCTGTGAATCGACCGCTCCATCAACCGTACAGCTGATGTCTAAAAGAAAACAAAAAGTGATTCACTAACTCAGGGAAAGAGGAGGAGGCCACCTGTGCTCCCCCCGACTGTGGTCTGTGCTGAATACAAGCCTCTGACACAGAGCTCAGCAGCATGGATGCCCTCCGCACCCTGAGGCTCAGGGGCCAGTGTGGCAAAGCTGGAGGCCTGGGCACTCAGCAGCCTCTATCACAAGAGCGCTAAGCTGCCCCTGGATTGTGGGTTTGGGGAAGTGCTAGAAAAACTTGCTAAGTGCTATCCAGCAAAGCAGTGTCAAGTGCAAAGTATGGTGATTACTACAGACCTCAAATGGGTGACTTTTCCTAAGCAGAGGGATCTGAGTGCCTAAGGCAGAGCCCAGAGAGGACAGGGGTTTAAGCGACATTATGGGGACTATGCCATCCGTGCCTCGGAGTCTGGTTTTCGGGGGCCCCACAGGGATGTGAGACCTGCCAGCCTTGAGGCTTTCTCACAGGGCCGGGTGGGGTCACTGCAGCCCATAGGAAACTGGGGAGGGCTGTGCCCAGGAGGAAGGAGGACGACACTGAAATCACCCCTCCATGGCAGAGTGCTCACGCCCCCCAACAGATGACCTTTCCCTGTGTCCCAGTGTCCCACTGGGAAGCAGGAGGGGCCCTTACCCTCGATGCCCCGTGGGAAAACACTGCTCTCACTCAGCATGGCACCCACACACCCACAGCACCCGTGGGACCTGCACCAGCAAATCAGGGGCAGGTTCAAAAGCATAACCCAGGAATTTCCTGGCTCCCTGTCCCCCTGGGTGTCTATCTGTCCATCCGTCCTCTCATTACTTACTACTCTCCACTGCCCGTCTTTGTCTAGCTCCCCATCCATCCATTTCTCTCTCTGCTCATCTTTCCAAGTCTGTCCATCTCTCTTTCTCTGTCAACTTCCTTCGTGGTATGTCCCATTATATTCAGACATAATAGACAGACTTCAGGTTTCCAAGTGACTGCCCACTCAGGAAAAATAAAGTGCTCAAAAGTAGAAAAAGGGAAAAAGTGCTGACCTCAGATCCTCCACCCTGAATCATTTTGAATGATATTTGGGCAGACAGAAATTCGTATGGTTCTGCTCGTATCTTTCCACTTTTTAAGACACAGATCTGTAGAAGAGCAATGGCTATAGTTGAAAGTGCTCAACAACTTGATCACTACCCAGCCAAGGGGCTGCGTCAACATTACTGGCTGTAGGGGTCTCCTCCTTGGAGAACCTCCAAAGCCAGTCTCTTGGGTTATACTTGGATTTGAACCACAGCTGCCGATCAGGACCATCTCAGCCAGCCTTTCTTCTAAGAGACTTGGCCTCGATTCACATCCCTGCTGATGGAAGGGGCCCGGGCAGCCTGTTTGCGCTCCATGATCTTCCCAACACCTGAATGGCCCAGGACTAGACACCTGACCCAAGCTGAGCCAATCGGATTCTTCCTGTCAAGAATTTGAATCAATACCTAGCCCTTGTGACAGCTAGAGAATAATACCCAAACACACGAGCAAACAAGGAACATATTAAAATCGCCTGCAGTGCCTGACAAAACACAGATTGCTGGGCCTCACCACCAGGACTTCTGAGTCAGCTGGTCAGGACAGGGCCAGAAAATGTGCCTTTCTGACGGGCTCCCAGGTGCTGCTGCCACTCCTGGTCCAGGGCCCACAGTTTGAGAACTGAGGTAAATGGTGTGGAGCCCAGTCATGGTCGGGTCATGAAGACTCAGGCTCACAGTGGTATCATAGACACTTCCTGACCAGCTGAGGCTGGCGGGTGGGGTCCTCAGAGAGGTGCAGGAACGGAGACCTTGGCCCAGGACACAGAAGGCAAAGCAGCGCTGAAGGTCCGGCGAGGCCTCCTTGTGAGGGTTCCCTTCCTGGCAATCGTATGCCCCTCATTTGAGGAAAATGTTAAGAAGGCTGAAACCAAGCCTCTGAAAGGTACCTGGGGACAGGTGTGCTGTTCCAGCATGGTAAGCTGAACATATGTCTGCAGCGTGAGGCCCCATCGACTGGCATCGCTGTACATCAGACCCTGCAGAAGGGAAAACGACAGTGATTTACCTTAAAGAGCTCTATCGACAGAACTGCGGTCATTTTGGTCACTGACAGCCATCTCATAAAACCCGAGTGGGGCTGAACTGGGGCCAGACATAAACCCAACGTGGTCACAGGGCCCTGAAGATGGAGCAGATGGAGACAGACACTGGAGACTTACGGGACAGCCTAGTAAGAGCTATAGTAGGAGCCAATAGAAAGTCCCCAGGGAACATTCACTCAGACATTCGATAAATGTTCCTTGAGTCCCTGGAGTCTACTCTCCATCCAGCAGCCAAAGCAAGTCCCTTCAACCTCAATCAGTTCTTGTCGCTCCCTGCTCATGACTTTCCAGTGCCTTCCCGCTGCATTCAGAATCAAGTCCAAAGCCCTTACCAAGGCCCACAGAGCACCAGACAATCACTTCCACCTTCTGTCGTCCCTCACCATTCTTCCCCTGGCTCAGTGACTTCCAACTACACGAGCCTCCTTAGTGCCCCCCCCACCCCAGCACAACCCCACCGCAGGGCCCTCCCATGTGCTGTGCCCTCTGTCTGAATGCTCTCCCTCCAGATGTGTGCATTGCTCGTTCCCACACGTTGTCTCGGTCTCTGCTCAAATGTCACCTAATTAGAGACACCTTCCCAGCTATCCCGACTCAGCTAGAAGCCCCACCCACCACGCTCTACTGCCTGAGATGCAAAACACTTCCTGCTCCAGATTCCATTTGCTAATAGTCTTACTCTGCTCTCTTCCACATTGCTTTTTTTTTCCTTGTTGCGAACCAATGAAACTCCAACTCTGCATTGAAAAGAAAAATCTCAGAAAGGTTAGGAGACACACTCCCTCTCGTTTGAGGGCTGCGGAAACAAACATCTTTCTGCATCAGAAAGCCAATTCAGACAGCGGTGAATTGAAACCTTTCACAAAACTGCCATACCTAATCTTCCACCCAGAGTGGGAACTTGTATAAAAATATCTGATTCTGTTACCCTTTGTATTATAAAACTGTCATTGGAAACACCCTTTGTACCGAAGATCCTCAGACCCAGTCCTTGAGACTGGGACTGTGTCCTGTAAAATGTCACCGCCCTAACCCTGAACATCTGTAACTCTAGTCGTCCTGCTCAATGACCCAGCCCTGGCCCCTCCCGGTTTACTAGAGAATGAGAATGTTTCTGAGGCTTTTCTGTTTTGCTCAAAGACAAGGACTGGCATTCCATCTTCTCTCTTAAGCGGAGGGGTGAAAACTCTTTTCATGTCTCTGGGATTCTTTATTCAAAGACTCTCAGAGTTTCTTCCTGATTAAAATAGTATCTTTTTTTATCTGCTTTAGATTTCTTCATAACTCCAGTCACTACCCGCCATATCACACACGTGATTGTCTTCCGTCTCCCCACCCTGGAATATTAGGGCCAGGACAGCAGAAGCGGGCAACAATTACTGGTTGAATGAATGACCAAACAAGCACCTGCTCAATGCTCGGCGGTGTGCTGGGCCCCAGCAAACAACAGTGAGCCAATTAGACGTAAGATCACTGCTGGGCGGTCCTTGGGCTCTGCGCATGCGCACGCAAGCCTCCAAGATGCTAGACCTCGGAACACCTACGTGCTGCCATCTTCCATCTGTCCCCTCCTCCAACCCAGCTAAGAGCAAGGAAGTGCGTGGGCAGGGGGGCAGGCTCAGGCACCAGCACAACCCCTCCCAGGCAGTTAAAAGGAAGCTGGTCGTTCACGCAGGAAACAACACACTCACCAGAGGATTATGGCCACGGAGGCTTCTCCACTTGGACACGGGCTCCGGGCACACCTGCAAGGAAAGAAAACATCGAAGGGCTGCTGTCCCTCAGCTCTGAGCGCTGTGAAAGCATCTAAGCATTGTGGGGGGTGAGGGGAGGAAGAACCAAAATCTGAGCACTCAGGATGAGCCAAAATAGCTGAGCAGCCCTCTGCGGAGGGCCACAACTTCACCTACACTGGCTCCACCACTAGCCACGTGAACCCGGCCAAGCAGTTTAACCTCACTAAGCCTCAGATTCCTCCTCTGCAGCTGAGGTAATAATAGCACCTATCTCATAGGGACTACTTTTGTAAAGATGAAATCGATTAGACGATAGAATGGAGCCTCCACACAGTGCCTGGCACATGGTCGCATGGCCTTAGGTAAGTTCACCGCGATTGCTGTTACTATTGTGGTTGTTCATTGGCTCCACGGTCTCCGGGGAGAATACAGGTACAGTCCACCCTTGAACACGTGGGTTTGGACTGCGTGGGTCCGCTAATACACTGATTTTTTTTTTCAGTAAATACCTGTAGTGTTTTCAGTCTGTGATTGGATGCCTACAGGTGTGGAGGGTTGATCTGTGCCATTTTATACGGGGAACTGAGCACCTTGCAGCTTTGGTATCCGTGCGGGGGTGGGGGGTTCTTGGAACCAACTCCCCACAGATACCAAAGGCAGTTAAGTTTTGGGGCTGTCAAACGTTATATAGAATTTTGGACCACACGGGGTCAGCACCCCTAACGCCTGTGTTGTTCAAGGGCCAACTGTACTTCAAAAGCGCCAACAGGAGTGACGCCACTCAGGCAGGTGCACCAGGAGTCCCCAGGACCTGCGCCTCCCCAGGTTTGGCGATTCACTGGGAGGCCTAATGGGACACAGTATATAATCGTACTCAGAGCTAAGGTTTATTACAGTGTGAAGGCACAAAGCAAAACCAGCAAAGGGCAAAGGGGGTGGATGAAATGTGGAGAAAAAAACAGGCGCAAGCTTCCCAGGAGCCTGTCCCAAGGGAGTCACACAGGACACACTCTACCCCCAGCAGCGGACTGTGCCAACATGTGTGAAACAGTGTCTGCCAGGGAGGCTGGCTGAGCAGGGGAGTCCAGGGCTTTTATCGGGGCTCACTCATGGAGGCGGCCTCCGTCTGACACTCAGAGGAAAACCCTGGACCCCCTGGAATAGATCGGGCGTCCAGAAGAAACCGTACTGCATGCACGGTTCACACCCAGGGGGCTACACCTGTCAGTCAGGGAATGGGAGGAACTCGCCCCAAATCTAAGTTCCCACACGCCAACCTAGGGCTGACCTTGAAACTAGCCTCGAGAAGGACAGCAGTCTCGGGCCTCTATAACTCTTTTCTGCCCGGCAGGACATGAACACAAGCCAGACAAGGGCTAAATAATGTTTACCATTTTTATCAAATCATATATATGCTTGACAGATATAAAAACAGGAAAGAAGGAAAGCAAATGACCCTAAAAGGTATGGAAATTATAGGATCTGCAATAACAACAAAAAAAGACATAAACAGAAAATATTACACCAGTAAAATCTACAAAGTAAAAGGGTTGGCTCGGTCGTGGTGTAGAGATTATTCTAAAACACGTGTGAGGTTGTTTTTAGTGACTGGGCTGTAGATAAACCGGACATTATGTTAACTGACGATGTACAGCAATAGTCCCTGACACCTCATATGTACCACTGCACCATTCCAGCCATTCCATTCTAAATAATCCGATTTCTTTCACATGCAGGAACCCTCTCACAGTCTCCTAACTGGACTGTGGGGAGCCGTGTACCTGCCCCGTTCAACACAGCAGCCATGAGCCACACGGAGCTATTACAAACTTGAAAGAAAACTAGTCCAAACTGAGATATGCTGTCAATATGAAACACATTCCCGACTTCAAAGACTTAATATGAAAAACAGAATGTAGAACACCTCACTGATGATTTTTATATTGTTTACCTGTTGACCTGATAACATCTGGAGTATATTATGTCAAATAACAGGTTCTTTTGGGGGTTTTTAGCAAGGTTATTAGAAATTTTACATTCCACGTGTGGCGTGCATTTGTGGCCCACATTCCGTTTCTGTTGCACAGGGCTGACCCACACCTCACCCCCGTAAACTACTCTGTCAAGCTTACGCAGGTTCCTTCAAACCTGCTGCGGAGGCCGTACCTCGATGTCCGTTGTGTTGGAGAAGAACTCCAGGCATGTCGTCTTCCCGCTGGCAATATTGCCCTCGATACAGATCTAGCAAAAGATAAACGCATGTTAGAACCAGAAATCAAGCATCTGTGGGAATAACTGGGAAGGATTTCTAGAGATGCGCTCAGGGAAACAGCTTAATTGGTTCAGTCCAAGACTTCAATCTGGACACAAATTGGGCACCAGACCACTGCCCTCCAGCACAGACCCGCCCTTATGTCAACCCCTAGACCACAGGGTTGTCCTCAGCCACCCCAGCTCTGTCCTTCCCTGGCTCACCCCCTCACACTATTAGATTTTAGGTCTTCGTGTCCTGCCTCCTTCACTTCTAATGGGTTTGAGATTAGAAAGCATGTACATGCTCCCTAGAACCTAACTCATAACGCAACGCTTGGTGCAGAAGAGCGTGCTGTCCTGGACAGGAAGGCATTGGGACAGGAGAAAAGGACTTGACTGAGAGCCTGCTTGCAAGCCAGGCCCTAAGAGGGGTAACGTACACCATCATCACACTTGACCTCACCAGGACCTGCGAAGTGGTCCTGACATTTTCCCAGGGAGAACACGGAGGCTTGAAGAAGGGAGTAAACCAGGGAGGACAGCCGGAGCCCACACGCTGCTCACACTAACTGCCCTGGGGGAAGGAGGTGTCACAGACTGAAGGGGAGGGCCACAGAGAGCCATCTGGGCATTATCTGTACCAACAACCAAGGACACTCCCACAAGTACCTCACTGTGGGAAGTAAGCATTCAAGGCAATAGTTTTCAGTCTTGAATAGATGCTAGAATCACCTGGCAGCTTTTAAAAATCTATACAAGGGAGCCACGACCCAGACTGATCACAACACAATCTCTCTGGTGGGACTCAGGCACAAAGATTTGCAGGTCATTTCAATTTCAACACGCAGAAAGGCGAGCATCACTGGACCACAGACACCCTGCTTCAGAAGCACCAGACCCTCTGAATCAGACTCTGGGTTGGGGCCCACATATCTGCTGCCCAGCAATTCTGACAAGGCTCTGCTCCGCCAGGCATTGCTGGGGACTTTGATTCCAGCAGATCGCAAAAGCAAATGGGCAGTTCCGCATAAGTAGGAAGACAAACTGGCCCTGGAGAACACCTCTGAGATGTCCCCGGGCCACAGAGAGTCAGAGGAAGCCCCGTTCTGCTGCACAGTGACCTTGACACTCAGGCTGGAGGCTCCCAGAGAAATGTGGACCATTTAGGTGACTTGCCCAAGATACCAGGCCTAGCAGGAGAAAGAGCTGGAATTCACACCCAGGCGGGGCAGACCCCTTTTCATGACCCCAGTGGAGCCTCACTCACACCCTACATAAAATGTGAGGTCACAAGTTGCCCCACTTCCTATAAACTCTGTCCGTGGGCTGTGAAGGTTTCCCCCAGCCTTGACCCTAACAGGTACCCAGAAGAGCTGGATGGTCACACTTCCAACAGACGTCAGGCCGCCCTCCAATCCCAGCTGCCTGCCAGCTCCCTCCTTTGGAACTGGAAACTATAAAATGAACCCAAGGGAGTGCACAAAAGGGAGAATCCCATTAGGGCACTAGCAGACTTGATTTTTCTTCATTGTTCCTCAAAGGGAACTACTCCTCTTCCTAAATATTTAAAAAGAGCTCAACCAAATGTCATTCCGCACAGATGTTGTTTCTTTCCCATTCACTACAAGGGACATGTTGTTCAGATGAGAACTTCTGTGAGAAACACTTGTTTCCATTCCCACCGTGAAATCCTAAAAGCGGGTAAATCTAAGGCCTTCGATTAATGACTGGGTTTCCCAGTAGAGCAGGCAAAGCATGAAGAACCCCACCAAGTGCCCCCATCGTAGAGGGAAAAAAAAGAGAAGCCAAGCAAAGGAGGTCTTTCATTTTTCTTAAAAGTAATATCTAAAACTATTATAAGAGGAGTGCCTGCCCATTGAAGAAAACAGAAAAAATTCCTAAAATAGAAAATACCACTATACTGCACTGCTCAGAGAGAAACATCATTGCACCTCAGCACGTTTCAGGCAAGCATTATTTTCTATACACGTTTCTCATCTTTGACCATCTTCTGACTGTTCATTGGAGGCCTACTGGGTGCCAAGCCCTGTGGACTCAGGAGCCAGCCCTGGCACCCACGAAACGCACGAGTGTGAAGCTGGGAGTAAAGTAACAGGAGATGGCAAGAAAGGAGGTTCGCAAACTGCGGAGCACGTGGCCGGCCTGGCCCACCTCCCTGTGACATGCCCAAGTCCACCTCCACTTTCCCCGTCCATTACACCCTCATTCCAGCTTCCTGGCCATCATAATTAACCCTGCAACACACCACCTGGGCTTAATTTTTAAATAATAACATTTAACCTTTCCTGAAAATAAAAGTTGAGCATTCTCACAGTAGGAAATATTGCAAACTAAGAGAAAAAAATAAAAATCACTCATAATTCCAGAGATAACCACCATGCAGGTGTTCAGTCAGGACCAAGCATTCGGGAGGCAAACAGGCTCGTGTTCCAAAGCTCTGCGAGAACCAAAACATTCGGGGTCCAGCACAAATGACACCCCTTTTTTTTACTACAGAACCTTTCATTACAAGATCATAAGCATGCAATTCTGTAACATAACCAATTCATGCTCAAGCTCACCATATGACATTTTAGGTGAAATGTTCATATTAAAACTATAAATGATTACATCCATATTATTACCCTACCAACCACACTGAAGCAGGCCTTACTCCCACTGGACCCTGTATATGCATGTCCAGTTAAAGACCCTGAGAAACAGTCAGTAAAAAGGAAGCTTGCCCAAAAGTCCGACAACTGGTAAACAGACAGAGAGTGGTACATCCACACACTGGAATACTATTTGGCAATGAAAAGGAATGGAGCATTAATACTGCTGCAATGTGGACGCATCTCACAAACACGCTAAGCGAAAGAAGCTACACCCAAAAGACCGAACTGCCATCTGATTCCCTTTCACAGGAAATATTCAGAAAAGGTAAATCCAAGGACAGGAAGTAGATTAGTGGTTGCTAAAGGTGGGAGCAGTGACTGCAAATGGGCGGGAGGTTTCGTTTCCTAGTGATAGAAATGTTCCAAATTAGACTGTAGTGACGTTGCACAACTCTGTGCAACGTCAGTAAATTGCAAACGTTTAGTAAATTGCAAATTTACTAAAATTCATTCAATTGTACACTTAAAATGAGTGAATTGGGGGCATCTAAATTAAACTCAATAAAGCTGTTAAAAAAAACCTTGTTTGATTTCATTTAACATGTAAAGAATGAAGGGAAGACTCCTCACCCCCAAATTCTCTCTCCCTCTCATTCAAACCTACTGTTAACACGCCCCAATTTTCCCTCAAACGGACTGACAATTTCTGCAACAGTCTGTAATATTTTCCTGTTTTTTTCCTATGGAAAGTTTATACATTATTTCATGTGAATCATGCTTCATATGTTTTTATCTCTTTTTTATCCCTTATGTAATGAGTATCTTTCCAGGTCACTAAATATTTTTCAAAAACATGACTCCGAATAGATGAATAACAGTCCATCATAAAAGATACCCCGTGGCCCCTGGGGAGGGATCCTGAGGCCCAGGATGGAGACAGACCTCCCTGCCCCTGGAGATCCTCTGGTATTTGCTTTTTTACTGTGAATATCCCTTCACTCTCCTCCTCAAAAAGAAATTTCTATATGGAAAGTGTACGTAAAAGAGGGACTTACCACTGACTTTTTTTCTTTCTCATTTTCTTTATCTTTATCTACAAAAGAAAGGAAATCAGTGTTTAAACTCAGTTTTAAATGGATCACTCTTCTGTGTCCTGATTTGCTAAGCCACCACAAAAACAACAATTTCTATGCTTGCTCCTCGACCTAAAAATGTTTTCCATGGACCCATGAGACCTTCCATGCGTGGACAGAGGCAGACCACTACAGCGGTCGGCCTGATCTCGCGAGACTGTGCAACTGCTCCCTGGGTCCTGTTGGCATGTCCAGGACGCAGCTGTGCGCAGCTTTTTTTCACCTAGAATATTATACTCTCCATCTCCTAAACATTTTATATCTATGATCCAGCAAGCGGAAAACGCAAAGTGGACTCCACTCGAAGTGCATCAGTAAGAGTTGGCTGTGGCCTTAGGTTTCGGCCCAGGGCTCAGGTTTCTCCTGTAGGCCCAAGGCTGATAGAGAGTCCTACCCACCTCACAGGTGGCTCTAGGGTGCCACCCAACAGCCCGAGGCCAAAGAACCTGGCTGTAACTATGGTTCCCGTTTGTGAAGGGGAGGGCCTCCACCAGCTGTGGGAGAGGCAGGGCACCCAACCTAACCCCCCCCCCCGCCACCCATTGGGGGGCTGTTTATCTGCAGTTCCCAGACCCCATCACCCCTTAGGCCAAAAGAATCAGACCAGGAGATGTACGGTGGACTGGAGCAGGCCCCACCCACAGGGAGTGGTGTTCTTTCCGCTCTTTAGAGGGCTCCCTAACTCCGAATAAGAGACGGGCCGGGAGCCCCCAAGGCCTCACTGGCTCGCAGCCGCAGCCCGCTTCTATCTGGCCTGGGCGCCAGGGGCTGTCCCCGCCCCTTCCTGTAGCCACCAGGAGTAATCCCCCCAACACTTCCGAGGAAGCGATTACGGTTTGGGCAGGTCCCAGGAGCCCTAGGAGAGGAGTGGGACGGAGGCAGCTCAGCGCTAAGGCGTAAGCCCCATCAGTTGCCCGCAAGGTGGTACCTAGAGACGTTACCTTGAGGCCAGGCCCGGCGCTGCGCCCCTCGCAGCCCACGGCCCCAGGCCGGGCTCCCCGGGCCCGCCCCGTGCAGAGTTCCGGCGGCCCAGCTTCGCAGCTGCCGCAGAAGCATAGCCCCGTGGACAGATCCGGCCAGTCTGTGCTTCCTTCCCGTTATGAGTTAGCGCGAGTCAGCGAGATCAGCGGCCTCGCTGGCCACAATCTACGGACCGCCTCCATTCCCCCCGTGGGCCTAGGAGGGGCGCCCGCTGGAGCTGGGCTCTTAAAGAGACCCGGTAACATTTCATCTCATCTCAGAGAGGGAAAATAATTCAAGGTGAAGAGTTAGCTAATTTTAGCCAGGAGGTCTTCCTGCTGACGGGATTAACTCATGACTTGGCAAAACTAGAGGATAGGTGGCCAATGATAACAGCGACTGACAGGCCAGTAATTACTGGAGATTACTTAATTGAGCACCTGTTCTAGCTAGGCATACACAGTGTATTTATTCTTCCCAAGAGCCCTGCGAGTGGATATTGTCACTCCCATTTTCCGAGCTGGGCTGACCATTAGAAACTTAGAGAAATTGTTAAATTTATCAGAAATGTTCATTATGTAGTGGAGGTGGAATTCAAGCCCATCTATCCTGCTTCACAGCTTGTACACTGTACTCTTAACTTGGACATATCCAGATTCTGGACTGTAAATGCACTAGATCCCTCAGGAAGGTGTTAAAATACACACACACACACACAACAACAACACACAACAACAACGACAAAGAATCCTAAAAGTTAAATAGCTCCCTGATTTCAAACTATAGTGCAAAGCTACAGTAATTGAAACAGTATGATACTGGCATGAAAACAGTCCCATAGATCAATAAGAGTAGAATAGAGGGCCCAGAAATAACCAGTACATGTATGGTCAATTACTGAATGACAAAGGAGGCAAGAATGTAAAATTGGGAGAAAACAGTCTTTTCAATAATGGTATTGGGAAAATTGAACATTTACATGCAAAAGAATGCCACTGACTATCTTACAGTATATACAAAAATAAATTCAAAATGTACTAAAGACTTGCATGTAAGACCTGAAATCATAAAATGCCTAGAAGAAAATATAAGCAGTAAACTCTTTGATGTCTGTCTTGGAAATATTTTTCTAAACCAGTCTCCTCAGGCAAGGACAACAAAAATAAAAGTAAACAAATGGAATTACATCAAACTTAAATGATCTTGCACAGTGAAGGAGACCATCAACAAAGCGAAAGGCGGCCTATGGAATGGGAGAAGATATTTGCAAATTATACATACAATAATGGGTTAGCGTCCAAAAAATATAAAGAACTTATATAGCTTACTATCAGAAAAGAAACCTGATTTAAAAAAATGGGCAGAGGACTGGAATAGACATTTTTCCAAAGAAGAGGTACAGATGGCCAATGGGCACATGAAAAGAAGCTCAACATCATTGATTATCAAGGAGATATAAATCAAAACCACACAGAGATATCGCCTCACACCTGTCAAAATGGCCTATTGTCAAAAACGCAATAAATAACAAGTGTTGGTGAGCACGTGGAGGAAAGGAAACCCTTGTACATTGCCGGTGGGAATGTAAAATGATGCAGCCACTATAGAAAACCATATGGAATTTCCTCAAAAAATTAAAAATAGAACTACCAGATGATGCAGCCATCCACTTCTGGATATTTATATAAAGAAAACAAAAACACTAATTTGAAAATGTACATGCACTCCTACATTCATTGGAGCATTATTTACAATAGCCAAGCTATGGAAGCAACCTAAGTGTCCATCAATAAATGGATGGATAAAGAGGATGTTGCACACACACACATACACACAATGGAATATTACTCAGCTATAAAAAAGAATGAAATCTTGTCATTTGTGAGCCTATGGATGGACCTAGAGGATATTACACTAAGTGAAGTAGTTGGACACAGAAAGACAAATGCAGTATGACTTCACTTACAGATGGAATATAAAATAAATGAACAAACAAAACAGACTCACAGATACAAGAAACAAAAACAAAAACTAGCTAAGCAAACAACTAGAACAGGAACAGAATCACAGAAATGAAGATCACATGGAGGGTTATCAGTCGGGGAGTGGATGGGGTATGGGGGAAAGTGTAGAGGGAATAAGTAGCATAAATGGTAGGTAGAAAATAGACAGGGGGAGGACAAGAATAGTATAGGAGATATAGAAGCCAAGGAACTTATAAGTACGACCCATGGACAAGAACTGAAGTGGGGGAATTCAGGTGGGAGGGGGTGTGCAGGGCAGAGGGGAATAAAGGGGGATAAATGGGACAACTGTAATAGCATAATCAATAAAATATATATTAAAAAGTAACCAGCCAACTTTTTTGCCTAACTTCCTTGTTTCTGCTCCCTTCTGCCTATAAAAATCTTCCATTTTATATAGATCCAAGGAGCTCCATTCTATCTGCTAGAATGGGTGCTGCCCAGTTCAAATAGATTTTTGGTCAAGTAAACTTTTTTAAAAAAGATTTTGTTTATTATTTATTTTTAGAAAAGGGAAGGGAGAGAAACATCAGTGTGTGAGAGAAACACATTCGTCAGTTGCCTCTTGCTCATACCCCAGCTGGGGAGAGTCCGCAACCCAGGCATGTGCCACGATTGGGAATGGAACTGGTGACCCTTTGCTTTGCAGGAGGGCAAAGCTGAAAGCCACACCAGTCAGGGCTCAAATAAACTCTTAAACTTCTTAATATTGGAAAGACAAGTAGGAGGTGGGGAGGAAGCCTGGAAAACACATCCGTAGCCAGGTAGCAAAAAGTTAGCTCGGGTGTGAGGTAGAAGCAGCCCAGGCCCCGCAACCTAAGCTATTGCAGTGATGAGCAGTGACTGTGTGTGCGGGTGCCCACCCTGGTGCTTGGGTGGCGGGGTTTCCCAGCTCTCCCAAGGAGGGCAACATGCTAGAAGTCACCTGGTGGGCACAGAAAAGGAAGTCATTTGAGACAGGGTTCACTCAGCCTCTATATCTGTTACCGGAAACCTGCAAGCCTGCCTGTGCTTCCTGTACTATCTGCCACAGACCTACCACATGGCAAGTCTGTGCCTTCCATGAACAAACTTAAGGATAAAGTTCACAGACTTTTGCTAGTGATTTGAGATGAGGCTGTCGGAGGTACCTGCTGATCAGATTTGACTGAATGAAATGGACTGAAGCTGAGATGGGCAGGATCCAAGAGGTCTGAATGGCAGGGCAGGGAGTGACGGCCAAATTATTCAAGACAGAATTTAAATCTTGTAAATGTAGCCACATGCCCTGGGCGGTGTGGCTCAGGAGGTTGGAGCGTCATCATCCCACAGTCTAAGAGTTATGGGTTCAACCTCCCACCAGGGTGCCTATGATCCCCATCTGAGAGCGTATGGGAGGCAACCAATTGATGTTTACCTCTCTTCCTCCCTCCCTCTCTAAAAGCAATTTTAAAATGTCCTCGGGTGAGGATAAAAGTAAAATAAAATAAGCAAAAAATAAAAGGAGCCACACATAACTTCAATATCCCTCAAAAGAAAGGCTCCAAGATGGTGACTAGGCTTCCTAGGAGCCCTCGTGGAACACAGGAGTTGAACTGAGTGTCTGCGGGGCCACAGGCTGTTCTACAGGAAGAATCAGCACCAGTGGGTGGGAGGCCACAACACAAATGCACAGAACGAGCAGGCTCACAAACCCAGGCTGTGATCCCCTGGGGGCAGGGGCAGGGACAGGGTAAGAGGCCTAGGCCATTAGTTCAGACTACGCATATTCTATAGCTACCCTGTGCCAGACCCTGAGGACCCTGCAGGGAGAGAAGCACACTGGCAGACACCTGTTTTTGTGCAACTTACATTCTTAAGGTACGTACATACCAACTAATGGTAAATGCTAGGAGGGGAGAGTGACGGTGGCTACTCCAAACAGAGTAACCAAGGAGGTAGCATTTGAGATGTCCAGAGTCTGGAGTGGCAGGATGGCCATTCCTGGAGCGCTTTCTGCCAGGAAAGTTACAGTGGAGAGCGAGGGAGCAGTTGTCTTCGGTGCCTGGCGGGGCGGGCAGGGTGGGCGGAGCGGGGCGGTGCAAACACCCAGCGCTGGGCTACTTACCTCGGCGGCCTGCAGGAAGACCAGCCCCAGCGCACACAAATTAGTGCAGGCAGCAGAGACACGCGCATGCGCGTCTGTGCAGGGAGGGGGAAGCCTAGCCGAAAGGGAGGGGTGGGGGTGCGAGGCAGCTGCAGCCGTTGCAGCCGCTTCGGGAGGCCAGGTCTGCTGGGGTGGGAAGCTGAAGGGCTAGTGCAGTTGCTGACTCTGCAGGAGCGATGAAGGCCGAGAAGCCGAAGCATCGCCCTTTCTGCTTTAGCGTGAAAGGCCATATGAAGATACTGCGGCTGGTGAGGGACAGCTGCGTGGTGGGGGCAGTGTGCAAGCGTGATGACGGGCAGTGAGAGGGCTATAAACTAGGAAGTAGAATGCCCTGTCCTCTCTTCCAACCTTGTGTATCAAGGCTGCCCCAGAGGCGAGTCATTTAGCTCTGAACCCAGAGGAAAGGAGAGAAATAAGTCACTGTCCTCACTGTTGGGGGCTTCCAACAAACATAAAGCAAATGTCCCTGAATGGCCTACAGTTGGACCCAAAACTAGGTACCCAGGTGAGGCAGCTGCAATTGTACAAGTTGGCAGCTGCAGAAGCCAACAAGATAGGAAGACTCAGGTGGATGCTGTGTTTACTTACTAAAAGTCAGAAGGGACCGAGCTCGAGGCTGATACAGCTCAGAGCCAAGACTAGATGGAATTGCCCGTTCCTGGCGCCTCCTACCTACCAGGAGCATTGAGGTCAGTTCTGAACAGGCCTTTGAGGAGAATTAGTCATCATTTGTAGAACACTGACCTGCCTAGTTAGAAAAGGGGCAACTACCATAGGAGAATACATTGAAGGAATTCGAGAGAAAGAGGGAAGGAAAAAAGTTTTGTTTTTTTTAATTTTAAAGGAGTAATATGTGGGAAAGGGGGTGGAAATAGTTAAAAGTTACAGGGAAACAGCTCTGGTTAATCTGAGGAAGAATTTTATATTGCGAGAGCCCCCAAATTAAATGGCCACATGGGAAGGTAATACATTCTCAGAAAGCAAAAGTAACAGGCATAGAGACAAGCCCTTGGTGAGAATGTTAAATAGGTAAACAGCTTC